CAAAAGTTAATGGCAGACCTCTGTGGGCTAGAGAATTACTCTTGGTCAGAAGAAGTAAGACTATATTTGCCATTGACGTGGTTGTCGGTGTGGAAAATTGGAAGCTACTAGGACGAATACGTTAGTAAAGTCCCACACTACATGGTCACCATAGAAAAGTCAGTTATTTAAGAAAAGCAATAATGTCATGTTGTCACAATAAGTTATGTACATAATCATTTGTCCATAGTAGAGAAAACCGGAAATAGTGAAAGGATCCATAGCAGACCCTACTCGTAGATGAGATGGAATTCTGACGTATGCGAAGCCATGCACACTTTTCAGAAGTATCATCCCAGGACACTGTGTAGTCTGTTTGCCCATGTATCTGAAATTCCACAGAGATAAAACTATGGTGCACCGAAAGCAAGCAGACGATTGCTTGGGACCAGGAGCTGGGGAAGGCTAATAACTGGGGTGAAGAGTCTCCGGGAAGAGTTTGAAACTGTCCTCTATCTGGAATGTGCCTGTGATTATGCAACTCTGTACCTTTTCTTTTCAAAAGTTACCAACTTAAAATACTTCAAAACTACAATAGTTTATAGAAAATTATTCAACAATAAAGCTGATTGAAGCAAAACAGACCTACATGCAAAATATTTGTAAAGCACAAATTAGACTTTAGAGTTCAGAAAATCTCAAGGCACAGTCGAAGAACAAATTAGAGGAGATTTTTGGGAAACACTGGATGGGTTCAAATTGCAGTCTTTGATGATGTGAATCTCCAGGGTATATAAAAATATTTATGTAAATCTACTTCCCATTTTTGATATTTGATAAGAGATAAAAGATGTGTCCAAACCTGAGAAGTTATTAATGCATGATAGGTCAAGGAGACTGCATATGAAAATCATATATGAAAATCATAATGTCATCACAGAACTAATTTTCCAATAATGAAGGAAACAGAGTGTTGGGGACTTGACTTTGCAAAGAAGGGCCCTGCCAGGCCTTTCTGGTCCTCCAGTGCCTGTGTTGTAGGCCTGGTCCTTGTACCAGAAGCAACAACATAATGCAGCTTGGCCCTGGTCAGATATTTTGAAATAGTCAAATAGGAAACATTGTCAGCATGGGAGAAAATGTAGAAGTCCCATCCCCGAAGCAGGACAACCCAGGAGTCTCTCAGTTGTCCTGGCTTGATGTAGAGAATGAAAGGGAAGCCAGAGTGTACAAGATGGGGAACAGCACCCTTGAACTGGGGAGACAGACAAATGATGTGTTCAAAGAGTTACATTGAAAAGCTCATATCAGAGGCAAAACAGCTCTCTTGGTGGCTTGGGGTTAAGGTGACATGTTGCTCTTGCAGAGGACCTGCATTTTGGTTCCCAAAAGCTGCATGGTAGCTCACAACCACCTGTAATCACTTCAGGGGACTCAAACCAAGGGCTTCGTCTAATTTCTGCAGGAACCATGCATGAATGTGGTACACATACATACATACAGGTAAAACATACTGAGATCAATAAAATGAAACATGAGGAGACAAGTTCTTATTAGTAGAACGCAGACTGAGAAAAGCTCAGTTGGAAAAGAGCCAGGCTTGGGAAGGGTAAGAAGTGGGCGAGCCAGAATTCAAAGGCCCAGATGGAGTCTTCAACAAGCTGAATTAGAAGGCAATGGCTTGCTTGCCCTTTGCATTCCTCAGAGCCTTACTGGCCAACAGTACTGACCGAAAGTTGAGGTACGGCCTTCCCCCTCACCCAGCGTTTTACTTGCTTTCTTTGTTCAAGTACCACAACCAGTGAAAACTAAAGACGTGCTCTGCATGGAGCTTCATGCTAATGCCCCTGAAGTTTGTGTACATTTGAAGTTCATTCAAAAGAGCCCTACTGCTGCAAATTGGAAGCATGTAAAAGTACAAATTTGTCCCTCCATCAGAGAATGGAAAGACTAGGCGCTGATGATAGTAAAGGGTGAGAATGGGGAGCTGCGCGAGGTCTGCGTAGCCTCAAGTAAGGCCTCACCCACTGTGCTTTCGTTTCCTTATCTAAAATAGAAATGATGGTGATAAGAGGTCCATTATCTGTTATCTGCAATTCTGAATTCAAAGAGTCCTAAAAACCAAGCATTGTTTTCTTTCCATTTTAATTTTCTATGTCTGGGCAACAGTCACGTGTAGGAGGCTTGGAGGTCATTCCCTGGTTGGTGTGAACATGTATGGGTTCGGCAGATGGCTTGGCGCTGGCCATGGAGGGCAGGCCTCATTCCCTGTGGCTGGTGTTCATAATAAATGCATCATGAACTTTCTTCACTTTGTAATACCTAAACAATTACAGATACTGAATCCTCTGGCCCCGGGGGTGTGGATGGGGGGTTCTGATAAGAGGCAGGGGACCTATAATCTCTTCCTCATAGTCTTGTGAGAAGATTTCCCTTTCTAATGACAGTGTTCATTATTTAAAGTCAGAAGCTAGACTGCCCACCTATCTCCCTGAGGATGAATAAGGATCCGTGCTTGATGAAGCCTCAACTTACTCTTTTCTTTTTATGAAACAGTTATTTCCTGTATCCCAGGCTGCCCTCAAACTCCTTGTGTAGTCAAGGATGACATGCGGTTTCTGCGGTGCTAGGGAGTTAAACTAGGCAAGCCCTGTGTCAACCGACTACTCACCCGCGCCTACACTTCTTGGGTCATGTTAGTCTTTGCAGCCTCGTTCATAGTATAGTAATTACAATCCTTCCCTGCTTGCAGAGAGGCCATGGTTGCCTTCAGTTGTTAGCCAACAGACTGACCTTTAGTCACGTGTCCTAAGGCTCCGTTTGTTTTCCAAAATGCGGGGAAGGATTATATAAATATTTCTTGCAACTGAAACACAAATCGTTATGTTGATTTCTTTGGAGCTTTCCATGGAAATGAGTTCTTAATATGCCGTAAAATGACATGTCTGCAAAGTCATCATTTAAGAACACAAAAGCATGGGCTAGAGAGATGGCTCAGTGGTTAAGGTTTCTTTCAGAGAGCCTAGGCCCATATTGCAGCTCACAACTGTTTCTAACTTCAGTTCCAGGGAATTCAATCCTCTTACACAGACACGCGGACAGGCAAAACATTAATGCACATGAAATAAAAGTAAATAAGATTAAGAACACAGGAACAAAAATTATTCATCTACATTTTGTTCAGTATTTTAAAGAAGAATGTTACTTCTGTGGTTGATTTTTGGCATGCTTCCTTTTCTTCAAGCTATGTAAAACCTTTTGACTGTGTTCAACACTTGGCCTGTGGACACGGAGGACTGATTTTGCAATACCACTTTAGCACTAGGAAATTTTAACTGAGAGATTCATGTGCTTGGAAGAAAATGAAGTATTACTTTAATAAATATTCTGTTTCAAAAGGAAGTGATAAAGCAATTTAAGTATGCTTCTTCTCCTTCTCCTTCTCCTCCTCCTTCTTCTTCTTCTTCTCCTTCTCCTCCTCCTTCTTCTTCTTCTTCTCCTTCGTCTCCTTCTCCTTCTTCTTTTTCTTCTTCTTGGTAGGTGTTGTCTCCTTAGTCATAGTCATGGTGGGTCATATCAAAAGGAAGTTCTTTGTTATTCTGGCTGCTCTTCTGTCCTTTCTCCCAGGGAGGAAGATGCTGCCAGGGTAGGTCTGCAACTTTCAGTGTTTACCCTCTGTTTGGATCTGTGTTACTAGGTGCCCACTGTTGGCCTGGATTTCTAGTGCCTAGGTGGTTTTACCTCAGCATTGGAGTCAGTTTGAAGGCAAAGAGGAGGCACTAACCCGGGGAGCTGGGACGATGAATTTTAACATGGAGTTAGGATTAGAAAGAACAATTTTTTTTTTTTCTGAGTCAGAGGTACCTAGAGGAGGCAACGCAGGTAGGACTTTGTTTTCTTAATTTCAGGCTTTTAAATCATAAGTTCTAAGCCAGTTCATCACCAGGGTATGTACTCTCCTTGAAGAAAAATGAGCAGGAAGGAAAAGTCTTCTCATTCGTTACTGCATGGCTGCATGGGCTGCTTCCTATTAGACTGACCATCTGTGTGAGAGGACCAAATGCTACCTGTTGCTTTCTGTGTGTGGTCTCTCTCACTGAAGAACCAGACAATGGGGCGGGGGAGGGGGTAGCACTTGTAGATCAGTGTTTTAGCTATGGATCTCAGACATTTTTTCGTGTTTGTCTCTGATAACCTGTGAAGTTGTTCATGGTGTTACTGTGGTTAAGATTTTTATCCTAGAACTTCATACAATGTTTTAACCATATTTGCTCACCCTTCCCCAAGTCCTCCCAGATCTACTCTCTCTTCCTATCCACCCAGCTTCCTGAGCTATTTCTCTCTCCCTTTCAAACCCATGGGGTCCAATTGGAACTCCCAAACACTCGAGTGTGGCGCCTACTCTGGAGTTTGGCCTGCCTATCAGAGGCCACATGCTTAAAGAAAACTCTCCCAGAGGCTGTTAATTACCAATACCTTAGGTCTTTTGAAAAAGTCATATTACCTTTTAAACCCCTGGGAACTTCAATTTCCTCAACCCAAAGATGGGCAAGTGTGTGTTTGGGTGGGGGGAGCCAGGCATTGTGGTATAGGTTCCTATTCCCAGTTCTTGGGAGGCAGAGACAGGCAGATATCTGTGAGTTCCAAGCTAGCCAGTCAGTACTATATAATAAGACCTTGTTTAAAGAAAAAGGAAAAATAACCACATGAGAGAGAGAGAGAGAGAGAGAGAGAGAGAGAGAGAGAGAGAGAAACAGAGAAAGCACTAAAGAAATAGCAGTATAAATGCACTATGTTTTGTAAACGAAATTTTATTTAAAGTAGCAAAATTATCACTTTAATTACCTATACTGATTAAATGTAGCTTTCTATTGCAAAGTTACCACATGCCAGGCTTGTGATAGTGAGAGCCTAGCACATGGCTACAGAAATGACTGCGGCTTGCTTGTTCCAACCTGGAGTAACATCTCCTACCGGTTCTCTCTCCCTTCTACCTGTGGGCCCCTCTCCTCTCTAAGCAGTATTCCACGGAACTGAAGAAGCTGTACTGTCAAATTGCAAAGACGTGCCCCATCCAGATCAAGGTGATGACGCCACCCCCACAGGGCGCTGTCATCCGTGCCATGCCTGTCTACAAGAAAGCCGAGCATGTCACTGAGGTCGTGAAACGGTGCCCTAACCATGAACTGAGCCGCGAGTTCAACGAGGGTAAGAACAGTGGGGCCCTGGATTCTGTTCCTGTCCAATCAAGCTCCTTGATGGTAAAGGTGCTGCTTCTGATTTCAGATTAAGAATATTGATAAATAAATTTGTGACTTTCACAGTAATTGAACTACTCACTAATTTACTTGTCCAAATGAGAAAATAGGAACAGATAGCATGATGGTAGTTGTGGCTACCATTTCATTTGACTTAGTTGCTTTTCCCTGAATGATATTTCAAGTTTAGAGAAACTGAAGGCAAGGAAGACCAGAAGAAAGAACGTAAAAGAGCTGATATAATGAACAAATGAAAAAGTAAAAGGAGAAAGAAGAATAAAAATTGAGAAGGGAAACTGTAGGTTAGAAAATAAATAAAGGATGCAAAACAAATGGATAGTGGAAAGAAAGGTTTCCAGGAGGGGTCTTGGGGGCTCCCTTTAGGTTTGGTGCCCATGTGTAATGTATACCCATCTTTGAAGCCCCAAATCTAACCAGAGTGTTATAGAAGAGGTTCACATAGATCTGGCATTATGGTTCCATGAGGGGCAATGAAAGCAAAGAGTGCTGGAAGTAGAAAGGAATCCTCTAAGGGCTGGGAGTGCAGGGGGGCTGGAGGTTAGAACACTTCCACAGAAAACACTGCAAGTGTAAATGTTGGGAGGCAGCTGGAATGTGTGAACATGGGGCGCAGAAAGGATTGCAGAAAAAATTCATGGAAGAAGAAAGAGGCTGAATAAATATTTAGAAGGAGAAAATACAGCCAAATATCCCAGCCCGATTTTTATACAATAATTTCTATTTTTGTCTACATGACTGCATTATCTGTATTTTGTCTCTTGCTTTGTGATTAATAATATACCATAAAAATATCCTACACATGCAGGCTTAATCCTCAATTTACCTAAATGCCAGTGTTCCGTCTAAACAACAATATTTTGGAGGTTTCCTTCATTTTCAACATAATATTGTTGAAATAGCCAGTGTTGCAGAGATTATGTTGATATTCTTAGCTTTTTACTTTTATTGAATAGTTTTTGTAGACTGGAACTTGATACCTCAAAGGTAAAGATTGCTTTATGGTCCCTCTCAGAACACTTTCTTTTGGAACATTGCCAGACATCTCAATTTTATGGCTTTGCTTGGACCTTTTTGTAAAACTCGCTCTTTTTTCTTGTCTCCAACCTGGGACTCTTTCAACGCAGTAAAGCCAAAAAGTTTCTTATCTTTATAACTAAATCCAGGTCTAAAAATGGATAGGAGAAAAAAAATAAAGATCAGCAGTGCTCACCACCTTTCTAGTGTTGGGCTTGCTTTGTTTGAAGCAGGGGGGATCGAACCCAGGGACTTGCAAGTAGGAGACATGTGTTCCTTCACTGAGCTATATGCTCAGCTAATTTCTTCTACTTCTCATTTTGTATTTTGTGCCAGTTAAAGGTTTAGGCTTGTTTATTTGTTTGTTTTCCATTTCCCTAGGAAAATTCTATGCGATGGATGAAATCAGAGGTGTGGCATAGGGTTCTAGGAAAGCTTGGATAGTTAACCTTAAGTTGCAGAACATAGAACCATCCCTAGACATTGATCATCCCAAAACTCTGTGTTGGTGTGAAGTGTTAGGTGTCACCCATGGTAGGCGCCTGCAACAAGGTCAGTCAGTCCTTTATGACACACAGGGTTTCCTTGGTCATTGCTAGCATTCTTTCTATGCTAGCTCATTTCATAGTCTGTATTATTAGGTCTGTAAGCTAACTATTTTGTCTTTTTCTGACTTACAGGACAGATTGCCCCTCCTAGTCACTTGATTCGAGTAGAAGGGAACAGCCATGCCCAGTATGTGGAAGATCCTATCACAGGAAGGCAGAGTGTGCTGGTCCCTTATGAGCCACCCCAGGTAAACAAGCAAAGCAGGGCAGAAGGAATCCCACACATTTGGTAACATGCGGGATCTAGCGTCTATCACTGTGTTCACCCTTGCCACCAAATACTTCCAAAACATTCTTTGAATGTCTCTTGTTCCCATGTCACCCCTTCAAAAATCCTAAACTGGAGAGAAGGCTCAGCCATTAAGAGCACTGGCTGCTTTTCCGAAGGACTTTGGCAAGTTCAGTTTCCAGCTCGTTCCCCACCAAACACACAGGATTCCTTACCTCTGCCTGGAACTCCAGTTCTAGAGAATCAAATGCCCTCTCTGGCGGATGGGGCACCAGACGCACATAGCACAAATACATCACGCAGGCAAAATGCATAAAATAAGAATGAATACATCTCTTTAAAACCGTGGGTGTGCACTGAATTTTCTAGGTCGTAGGGTTCTGCCCATGCTGCCTGCCTCACAGCTGGAGGTTGGTTTTGTAGTCTTAGCTGAATGGCAGGGAACTGATAGTGGATGCAAGCAAACGCTGTGTGTGTGTGTGTGTGTGTGTGTGTGTGTGTGTGTGTGTGCATGTGTGTGTGTGTTATAGTAGACTGTAAATGAGTGAAGCTACAGTGCATTGTTTAGCTGAAGTTTCCCTGAACAGATGGAACATTTACGAATGTGTGTGTAGAGCAGCACAGAGCAGTGGAAAGCACACAGTAGTAGCTAGATTACAGGGGGAGCAAAGCCAGGAGCTGGGCTTGACTGGCAAGCTCTGGGCCCTTGGGCTTTGACTCACACACTATGTGACTCTGTGGGCTTGACTTGCCTTATGCCTAACTGAGTGATTTAGATGATTCAATTCTGAGGGTGTTTTAGCACGAGGATATCCTTCATGAAGATGTACATTCAAACTTAGGTAATATTATTTATCTTCACAATGAAAATATCCTTGAATTATTGCTGCTATTTGGGGCATTTTTAAAAAAAAAAAAGCTCTCCTTTCCCAGAGATGTCTGTGTTATAGACTGAAGTGAGTAATTTGAATTAGCTTGCAAAAGAGCAGGGTAGAAGAGCAATGATCCAGTGTAATGAATCCATCTCTTGTTCCAGTGTTAGGAACATTAGTGTGAAGGTCTCTTGAAAGCAAGGCAAAGAGGGCTCTCCATTGCATTATACAATATCCTTTCTGAGACAGAAACCTGCCGCTAGAAACAGAGTTCTTCCAAAAGAGGGCTGAGCTGAGACGCAAAAACATCAATCCACACCATCGTTGGCGCAAGTTGTACACATGTGGACGTACACCTTTCTTTTTCTCCTGCCCAGGTTGGCACCGAGTTCACCACAGTCCTGTACAATTTCATGTGCAACAGCAGCTGTGTCGGAGGAATGAACCGCCGTCCAATTTTAATCATTGTTACTTTGGAAACAAGAGAGTAAGTGCGGTGTGTGGGACTGTCTACCCCACAGTGCAGGAGAATCCTGAGCTCTCTCACCACCTCTGCATGCCGCCCCTACCCCCCCCCACCCCCGGTTTGGCACTTTGTCCTATAAATCCACTGTAAACACTAAAAGATCTGAGAAAGTGGAGGCAGAGAAGGGTGGGTCAGGGAAGGGGGTGGGGCGGGGAGCCAAGGGGCCGTGCAAGTCACTTCAGACCTGAATACTTGACATCTGACTGGAATTGTTTCTGATAGACAGTGTTTGTTTTCATGTGGCCCCCAAGGCATTTACTGGTTTCCTTGAGAAGTCTGAGCTGCCTGAGGCAATTTTATCCTGGGACATCCCCTGGCTTAACTCAAGTTTCCTTCAAAATATGTAGCTAAATACAGCTGTTCAGCTAATGGCTCGGAGGGTCTTTGCAAAGCGAATGGAATGTTCTTTATTTGTTTTGCTGGCGGCATGCACAGGGTTCTGTGTTCTGCCAGGTGCTTTTGGGCGCTTGCTCTGAGCAGCCATGCTGAAGGGCGTGAGGGCCCACGTATGATGGCCAACATCAGGAAGAAGACACATGTAACTTTAACCTGTTGTTCTTCTCTAATTCCTAGTGGGCAAGTTCTGGGCCGACGGTGCTTCGAGGCCCGGATCTGCGCTTGCCCCGGAAGAGACAGGAAAGCCGATGAAGACAGCATCCGAAAACAGCAAGTTTCGGACAGCGCAAAGAACGGTGATGGTACGAAGCGCCGTAAGTAGATGTAGTGGCCAGATGGGGCAGGGTCAAGTCTCCTCCAGATGTGGGACTCCACAAATAAGATTAGAAAGGCTATGTGAGGAAAGCTGTGAGCTTTAGCAGCCAGTGTGACCTGAACTCTCAAAGAAAGTAGGATCGCACCGGACCCACCCTAGGGCACACTACCGGTTGCTTAAACTACAATTGTTGCTTGGAGATCTTAGCAGGAGATTACTTGGAATCTGATGTCCACACTAATAGCACCAACAACACCTGGAAACTGAGTACATGCTCGGGCTCTGGAATTGCTGTTTTTGATGTCCCAGCGATCTGTGTTTTGTAAGCCCTCCACCTGGGTCGAATGTTACCTAAAGCTGCAGGTGTCGATTTATCTTTCAGTTATTAAGCATAGGATTAAAGTGGTACCTGTTTCCCTTGGGGCTCTAAGGAACAGTACCATTTGCAAATGTATTTCCTTAGGCACAGTCCAGGGATGTGCAGATGTGGTCGCACTGAGCCTAGACAGCCCATGTTGACCAGAATGAGGCCTCAGCTACCTTATCATTTGTTAACTAAACTTGGATTTTACTTAATTCTATTTTTTAATGGGATATTTCAAGAATTCTGTGGTACAAAATTTTGAAAGCAGAAGTGCTGCCACCATTGGAAGGGCTCCACGTGACCTGTGGTGGGTGTGTGCCTTCATCTCAGTCACCTCCACAGAGTCCTGAGGGCCTGCGGACAATGTCTGCCAACCGTTGTTCACATGTGCTGCTGACTTATAGAGAAATGCTGTTCTAGAAAGCACTTTGCATAAATGGCAACTCACCAAGCTTAGTTTGGGTTTCTTGAAGAGAGATTCCTCTGTGCCCTGGCCTGACCTGGAAATCTCTATATGTGCCAGGCTGGCTTTGAACTCACATCAACTATTCCCCTTCAGTACTCTGTGTTCTGGAATTCCAGGCGTAAACAACTATGCTACTCTTCAATAGGTGTTTTAAAGTATGTCACAGTACCCTTTTGTTTTGTTTTGCTTTTTTTTTTCTTTTGAGGCAGGGATTTTCTGTAGCTTTGGAGCCTGTCCTTGAACTAGCTCTTGGAGACCAGGCTGGCCTCAAACTCAGAGATCCACCTGTCTCTGCCTCCCGAGTGCTGAGCTTAAAGGCGTGCACCACCACCGCCTGGCTTGAGGAGGGCTTAATCTTACCATCTGTTAGTATTTAGATGGTTTAAAACTGTCCCTCACAGGAAAACCCATCACCACTCACTTCCAGCTTCTGAGTGTGGTATGTTTTTCTGCTAGATTCCCTCTGTCCCCATGACAACTCCTCAAATAACGCAAATGTGCTATATATACTTACCCCGTTCTAACTTCTCTTGCGCCTGCAGCTAGCACGGAGCAGCATGGAGTAATAACGCAGCCTATCTTGGGGACTCTACTTACCGACAATTTAGGGGTTTACAGTAAGAACAGAATAGCTGAGCTTCGATGGAAAGATCATTTTCACACCCTGGATCCTAGCTGATTAGAGATGCTAGTTTAAAAACCTTAGTGATTTCTCACTCATTAATTCCCCCCATTTTACTATAACCATCACAGTTCCTGTAACATGCACTTTTAACTCTTTAGGAGATGCATGATCTGAACCATTAAAATTTTAAAATATAAAAAGCAAAAACCACATTTCCTTTTTCTCAACAACCTTTCAGAGACACATGTAGGTAGCGCATATTCTGAATTCCCCTCCAGCCCCACCACAGCATCCTGGGTTTGCCTTCTCTACTGTCTTTTCTATCTCTCTCCCACCTTCTTACTTTATATAAAAGCAACTGGCATCAATTGATGGGAACTTAGGACAGATATCCCTCATTTCTCATGTTGCTAGGCAATTTCTATTTTGTACGTATCCTTAGATATCAGATTCAATGCATCAGCACTTACACATTCTCAGGATGAAGCTTATATACTTCTTCCTCCAGCTTTTCGCCAGAATACACACGGCATCCAGATGACTTCCATCAAGAAACGAAGATCCCCAGATGATGAACTGCTGTACCTACCAGTGAGTCACCTTGAATTGTCACAGTCGCTTCATTTCCCCTTCCTTCGGTGCGCCTTTCTTAGACAGTCCTCACCCAGTTCCTCGGGAAAAGAGGGAAGAAAGAACCTTCCCTCACCTGGAGTAAAAACAACAGGGATGGGACTTAGATCCGTAGCTTGTGAACAGCCCCCATGGATTTCTCCTGGTGCTGGGGCTGAAGGTTGGAAGTCTGAGGCCGAGGTGAACGTGTCCTTGATCAGGTTCTGGGGAGGACCCCCTTCTGAGTTGCTGCCGTCTTCTGCATATTCTCTTTCATAGGATAGAAAGATGCACAGGATAGAAAGCTGCATATCACATCCTCCAAGTCTCGGCCTTCACAACCTAAATAGCATGCCAAGGGCCCCATCTCCCAACACCACCACTTTGGAATTTAGAAGTAAAAACACATGAAATGTAGAGAAGGAAAACACATTCAATCATAGTGGCAGAAGGAGGTATAAAACACAGCAAAGATCTTTTCCTTTTTAAATCATGACGCGATCCTTTCCCTTAGAATGTATTCATAATGTGAGTTCTACTTCATGGCTCTCCCATTCTAACAAAGCCACCCCCATAACAGGACATTTGCAATCAAGTATTTAATTCACATAGCATTATTTGTGAGTGATAAAACTCTTTGGCACAGCATTGCCATCCCTGAATTTTTGTCATAAGCAATTCACAAAGTTGATGATGCAGTCACTAGCTGTTCTTCTCTCAGGGTGCACTAGGGCCATTTGATACACGTCTGTCATATATAACAACTCACAGCAATCAGCATGGTCATGTCTCTAAGCATTCACCATTTCTATGTGCAGGGAACCTTTGTTTTCTTTTAGGGAATGTTATAAACAAAGCCAAACAAAGCAGAAGCCTTGTGAAGAGACTGAAAGCTTGACTCAGTTCTTATATAAGACTGTCCATCCCTTCTACTTGGCTGTCAGTCACTAATGAGACCACGTCATTAGGTTATGGCTAGCATTCATTGGGTTCTTACTACATTAGGTCTTTGCCACCTACAGTGGCTATTGCTGTTCTTCTTGAACTTTGTAAGACGTTCAACCCTGATGCCATCCAAGCTGACACAGGTGACAGTGTCAGGAGCAATGACTGAGCTACCACCCTGGGATGAGAGTTTAAGTCGTACAACAGGTTCATTCGGGTATGCATGCCTCCTTCCGAGCCTTCCCAGCCCTGGCTCTCGGAGAAATCTGACAGGCAATCAGTTGAGGTTTCCAGTCTTGCTTCTAAGGCTACAGATAGAAAGTAGATGTTTTCCCTCTAGGTAAAACATTACACCTTCTATACTATACTAATATTTCATGGAAATCCCAGTGCATAGTCATGAAAACACTACTGTGATGAATTGGATCTAAAGAAATGAGCAGTTAGGCAAAATCAAGTTAACGGGATGAGAAAGGCCATGGAATCAATTCAAGTTGAGTGACCAATAGGTCAGTTCTCAAGCAATTGTAAGGAAGGATGAATGTTTGCCTTCCAAACATTTACCTTAAACTGAGTACCTAGCACTTCCAAGGTAATGAAGCTCTTAGTAGAGCAAGGCTGAGGAAACACATGTGAAGGAGCAAATGTGGGGAGAAGAGCAGCCCTAAAGTCAGGGTGGGCATCTTGGAGAAAGAGACGAGAGCAGGCTAATAACAACAGAGGAGAAACTGGGCGCACCTTTCGTTGGTGCTCGGGTCAATGACTGTGGGGCAGATACGCGCACAAGGTCTAGAATGCAGTGGGCATTCACCTCCAGGGCCTGGGGATTCTCCAAGTAGGCTGCTGCCTTCGCTCTAGCCCAGCCTTCTCCTCGGTTCAAACAAGGTCATCCACAGAAAACACAAAAATCTGAAGTAGATGACCATAAGTAGGCTGGGAAAAGAATGGTAGTTCACAACATCAAAGCATATATAGGAGGATAGCCTCTCCTTGCTCACCTCCAGCTGGGAACTTGTACCCATCACTCAGCTCATCTGTCCCTGTGTGCGTCTTTAACTGGCTGAGAAGTGCCAGCTATACAGGTTTTCATGTTGCAAATATGTGTTAGCGAGTTGATATATTTACCAGTACAAAATCCGCTAACCGTGAGATGTGACTGACTTTTGCCTGGTCTGCGGCTCTTCATCCTTCCCGTTTTCTGGGTGTTGCCTAGGTGAGAGGCCGTGAGACTTACGAAATGCTACTGAAGATCAAGGAGTCCCTGGAGCTCATGCAGTACCTCCCGCAGCACACGATCGAAACGTACAGGCAGCAGCAGCAGCAGCAGCACCAGCACTTACTCCAGAAACAGTGAGTGTGCCGCCGTCCTGGCGGAAGGCATGAGCAAGGGGACTGTTGGCTGTTGGCATCAGCGGCAGGCTAATGGCGGAAGCGGACACTGACACTGTGTAGTCCAGAAGAGTTTAGACGGGCTGGTTTGGCCTCCTTCTGTGTGTCGTGTAACATTTGGAGTTTTCACTTGTGATCGATTACAAGCCCCCAGCTCATGATAACACTTACTAATACTCTGTTCTAACAACTTATCATTTTCAAAATCCTTCCCTCGTCACGGAGGATTGGCATGTGTGTCTCCTAGGATACGTGCAATCCCGTTTGGGGTACCGCTATAGGTAAAGAGGACCGAGGAGGTTTTCCTATGAGGAGGTGAACTGTTTGCCCACTGTGTTAACTAGGGTTCTGAGACCTAGCCCTGTTCCTTGAGGGATGTCTCAGCGCAGGACGGAGTCATGTCAAGTTTCTATGTTTTAGCATCTTTGTTCTAGACTATCTTCCAGCAATACATTTTCAAATAAATGGGAAAGCTTTGGCAACCTTATTAGCCTATGCATACAGTCTACTCATATGCTAAGTTTCACCTTTCCACTCAGAGCTATGGTGTTAATTGTTTTGTGACTAACAAGAAGAGAATAGCTCTGCTGAAAGGATGGGAGATTGGCCAATCAGAGCTCTGATTAGGATTATCTTTGGGTGCTTAAGTACCATCACTTGTGAGTTTAATACATTGTATATTAGTGCAGGCATTGCCACAGAGTCTCGGTAGATAAATGTCTATGCTACATTTTCAGTCTACTGGAGAAATTTCAAACACTCCACCTTTCAGGACAAAATGAAGAGGTATCAAAAAGTACCTTGACTGAGAAAAGAGGTTTGTTTGTTATGTTTTTAAGCTACGTTGATAATTTAGTCTAATAGTCTCAAGGTTTGACCAAAAAAAAAGATCTTTAAACTAGAAATGGAAGTGAGCGAAAAATACTAGTTCTTTTCTGACATTATTGACTACTTCTACGTAAGTATAAAAAAAAAGGGCACTTAAGCAGTATAAATGCTGCTAGGGGGTCTAGACTCCATCTCTAAAAACCATAGCCTACTTCTGAGTGGGGAAAGAGCAGAAGCTTGGGAAATGAGCATGCCCCCTTCTCAGCTGAAAGCTGTTGAGAATGTAAGACCCTGTGACTAGCGCATCTCACATGGAAGTTTTACAATTCGTAACTATCATTTGTTCTGAAGGCTAAACATAAAATTTAATCAAGTGATTTCTTCGAGATATAGAACACTCTACGGGAAAATCAGAACACACAAAATTCTCACTGGCAACAATATGTATTCTTTTGGATATCTGACATCAGTGGATGTTAAGATAATCAAGTATAGATTCCGTTTAGTTCACTTAAAAACATGCAAACAGGATCAAAGGAACGCACCGCTAAAACACAGTAGGCTGCAGAGGAATAAGTAAGAGCGCCTTCCTCTGAGAATTGCTTCCAATTAGCTCTCAAAACCTTTAGCTCAGCCAACACCAGGAGGATGAGGATTGTATTATATATTAATGTGTTGTGTTGAACTAGTTCTGAGTCGTCAGCTCCAGACATTGTTTTTCTCGTTAATGAAGAAAGAACCATGTAGCGCAGGGACTAGCAAGCATTCTCATCTTCTGAGGCATGAGAGTTAGGTATTTTATGCATCTGGCTGCAGATGCTCTCTTATAACTGACCGGGTCTATGCTTGTGTCGGGAGAACAGCAGTAGGTGCCATAACTCAATGAGGGTGGCTGTCACGTGAATATCTTATTATGGAGTCTGAAACTTGTATTTCATACTATGTTCTTATGTTGTAATTGCTACCTCCTCCATGTTTAAAAGTGTAAAAACCACTGGCAGCTCATGAGCCATGCTGGAGAGCTTGCCAACCACTCTTGCAGGTGAATAGACTCCTCATCTTTTTGTGTTCATTGAAGTGGAATTTCTGTTGGATGGGCCCATCACAAAGTTATTATGTGTATTCTGGAGAGTTAAGAAACGAGCATAAAAAGTCCTGAAGTCAGCTTCAGACAGCAGCCTTCACCATAGATCTCTTTTGTCCCATAACAAATAAAGCATTTCCACTGAGATAACAAGTGCTCATGGTGATATAATCTCTTTAGTAAAGCACACTATAATACGTGACTTTAAAATGGAAACAAGAATTAGGGCTTCTGCCTTCCAGTAGTTTGCATCAAATGGCGAATTCCTGACTAAAACACCGTTGTAGTAGTAAGAAAGCTTTGCAATGATCAGGACTGTATAAGTGAAAGAAGCTTGCATAGATTAGATGAGAAAGGAAATAACTTATCTTTGTTTTGTAGAGTTTTTGACTCAAGTGGCTTGATTCTGGTCAGGGGCTCATGCTATCTGTGTTTACATTGTGTAGATGAAAATACTGACCTTGTATTTCTGTGTGAGGACTTTTTCCAAAGTAGCTGATTGATCGCCTTGCACGGCTCCCGAGGGAATTTTTATTACTTCTTCTTTATGGAGCAATCTATTTCGTCCGAGAAGAAAATGTCTGCTAAAGTTGTGCTAGCAAAACTGGTCTAAAAGATTTTCGGGACTTATTTTTATCCTTCTCCAGGAGTAGCTAAGGATGAATAGTAAGGAATTAGCTGCGCAACTCCCGGGGTGTGTGTTTGAAACAATCATGTGCATGGTTTTCAGTTGGTCTTTCACAGCTGCGATGGCTTGCGCATGGAAAGCTAACCGATTGCAAAATGAGATCCTTGCAAAATACAGATGTTTGGTCCAATTACATGTTTATATCATCATATATCCATGTCTCCCTGATAATTGGCATGAATCCATGCAGGTCCTCCAGATGCTATAGTCTTCAGCTGAGATTTATTTTCCAGCTCTTTTATTTTCATGTGAATCTCCAAGAGCAGGAGACAGGAACAAGTAGACAAAGAAAAACTGGAAATCTAATTTCCTGACAATCATTTGAAAAGAATGAATCAACTTAGAAAGTGCCTGTAATAGCCCGTGATTTCCTTTCTAAAGCATAGTACCAATTTAATGCTGGTAAGGAATTTTTTTTTTTGTAGAATGAAAATTGGTGGAAAAGGAATATACTTCCTACAAGGTGGCAGTATAATATTTTCAGTTTAATTGCTTCCTTAGTCTCCCATTCTGTGTTTTCTCTCTGCTTGCTTTTCACTTGTGCATGGATTTATCATTTCTTTCTCTTTTTTTCAACCCGTCATAGTTACCTTCATGATCATATGCTGTATGGAAGACAGATTTTGAACTGAGTTGCTATGATTCAAGTTATTATAGACATGCTCGGGCTTTGCACTGCTAAAGACAAAATTATATTTCCATTTTCTTCCCCAGAGTGGTACAAATATAGTTTACTAGAGCTCAAATCTGATGAAGGACAAATTAGGCCCATTATTTTTTTTTTTTACTAAATTTCATTCCCTTGCTGTCCCTTGGGCATTGGTTCGTAATGCTAGGCTGGTTTGTTGACACCTGTTTTAGGAAGCCTTAACTTTTAGATTGAAGCCCTATGTGACATTTTTTTTTTGTTTATCTGTTTGTTTACTTGCTTGTTCCTGGAATACGCTGTCCTTGCCTCTGCTGTTCTCAGACCAGTACAACTTCTTTATACTTTTCCTAGCTGTCATTTCTTTCTGGAAAACTGTATTTTGTTCTCTTTGGAAAAGATCCCATTAACTTATAATATACCCTGTGACACTGTAAGATGCCCTCATTCTATAGTGATGTCTTAATTGTGGCTCCACAGTAAACAGAAGCCAGAGGCTGCTACTTTTGAGCAGGTTCTTCAAGACTGTTTCCAGCCCTCACAGCAAGGCCGGGAAGACCAAGCAAGCCCACAAAACAGCTAAGGCGGCAGGGAGCATCCCTTCGCATGTTGCCGTGGTTGCTAGCCGCTTGGTCCTTAGTCTTGCTCTTTCAGTTTAATGCCCTATCCTTTCTGTTCCTTCTTTCTTTTTTTTTTTTTTTTAACTAGGAATGCCCCTCTCCCAGCTTCATGTATTAAGAAGCAGACATTATGCTCAAGATTGCTAATGAATTTAGGAAAAAGTAAATGAAACAGATATCCAAATTGATATAAATCATTAAAACCGCACTTCTAAGTTAGTTTATAAGGCCGCCCATTTTCAGAACATTTGCTGGAAATTGCCAGCTCCGTAGATTTGAAAACGACAGCAACAGCAAACAACCTTGTAATTTCATGTTGTTTAACCCGACAACTACATAAAAATCTGAATTTTTATAGTGAGCACAGTATTACTTTCGAACTTCACAGCTATGGTGATATTTTTTAAGACAGAGGTTTCTTACCTCTAGATTACTAATGGAGAAAAATCTCAAAGGTTAATTAAATTCAATTAAATCACTTCTCCAATTGTGCATATCTCCTTGTAGAGTTGGCCATACTTCTAAGTCTGAAAGTTTGAACCCACGGGGTGTATCTAGTCTTGCCTTCACTGGAATGCTGATATGATCAGTACATGCCAACTACACTAGGCTTCCCTATCGGAAACTCTCCAGACTTCAGCTTCCAAACATAGAAGTCTCCAAGCTGGATCGTTGATGTATATTCTGGCATATTTTGTTATGAACATCCCAATCTCGCTGGTATACTAGGTCATGGATTGAGTTGGAAAATGGCCTTGTTCCTTTGAAAGGACTAAACAAATAGGATTTGAAAATCCTGTCTGGGAAACAGTTCTCAACACTTCACCAGGTTGCACAAGCTTTAGCCAAATAAAAGGGCTTATTCTTGGCATAATTCTTATGCCATAATTCTATGGCATAATTGATTTCTTAATTATGCAAAAGTTGCTTTCATGAGTTTGATATATGCATTTATAGGCCAAGTTTGTGACTGAGAGGATTAAGGTATTTACCCACCTCAATCTGGGCCCACACGAAATACTCATTAATAGTTCTTTGCAGATGCATGATGACGCAGCCCCCACACTGATAAGATCTATTTCTTCAGACTTCGGA